GGAAAGAGGGGGAGCCTGAAGCTGGATTAATATGCATTTTCTTCATTTGTGTGCCTAGGAGTATTTTAACCTACTTTTTATGAAGCCATACTATTAAAAAGTTGAGTTGTGTGAAGCCTTTTAAAATACATACTAGTTACATCTGGTGGCATACTTGTTTTGTATTGCTAACTGTTTGTTATTGTTTTAGTGGGAAGAAATTAGTGGACTGGATGAGAACTACACTCCTATACGGACATACCAGGTATGCCAGGTGATGGAATCAAACCAGAACAACTGGCTTCGGACTAACTGGATTGCAAAAAGCAATGCGCAAAGGATTTTTGTAGAACTGAAATTCACTCTGAGGGATTGTAACAGTCTTCCTGGAGTTCTGGGGACTTGTAAAGAAACTTTTAACTTGTATTATTATGAAACAGACTACGACACTGGCAGGAATATCCGAGAGAACCAATATGTAAAAATAGACACTATTGCAGCAGATGAAAGTTTTACCCAGGGTGATCTCGGGGAGAGAAAAATGAAACTTAACACAGAGGTGAGAGAAATTGGACCTTTGTCCAAAAAAGGATTCTATCTTGCATTTCAGGATGTAGGGGCCTGCATTGCTTTGGTCTCTGTCAAAGTCTACTACAAGAAGTGCTGGTCCATCATTGAGAACTTAGCTGTTTTTCCTGACACAGTGACTGGCTCAGAGTTTTCCTCTTTAGTTGAAGTACGAGGAACTTGTGTCAGCAGTGCGGAGGAGGAGGCGGAGAACGCGCCGAAGATGCACTGCAGTGCGGAGGGAGAATGGTTAGTGCCTATTGGAAAGTGCATTTGCAAAGCGGGATATCAGCAAAAAGGAGACACGTGTGAACGTAAGTAAACATTCAACTTCTTGTGCTATGTGCATCATAGGTCGTGTTTTACCAGCTTATTTTTATTATTTTTTTTTCAAGAGAAATAAGTCATCAGTCTGCTCTTAAAGTTTTCCTCAGTCTGTAAACTTCACACTGGCTAATTCAAAGCAGTCAGCTCATTTGGATAGGGAAACCAGCAGTTGCATGCTGCGTTTTAAAATTTAAACAAGAAAATTTAAACTTGTGTGACATATAAATATAGATTCAGGATTAACTTTTTAGACCGGTTAAGGCTATGTTCCTTGTACCTCTTGCTGAGCAAGGTATACCTATCACAGAACATTGTATTAATAATCTCGGGTATGAGTAGTTAAACAATTTGTTCTTTCACATGGTCTGTGACAGAATTATAAGGAAACTAAAAATGAGGAAGAATGAGGTGTGGTTAGTAATGGGAAGAATACACGCAATAAAACCTGAGTTAGAGGTTTGTGTCGTAAGTGCATACAAATTCAGACAGAAGAGTATAATTTTAGATCTTTCAAACAGAATATCAAGTTTCCAGAGTAAAGTATGTTTTCCTTTCCACAATATCTTTTTGCACAAAACTAACTCTAAACATCTCACTTGCCAGGGTATCATGGTGATTAGTATAAAATACTTGCAAGTCAGAGACTACCTAGCTGTACTTTCTAATTCAGACTGGTTCAGTTACCCGTATTCTTAGAATGATTCGTACCCTTAGCATTGCTGCCAGTGGGGCTACATGTGTAAGACGCTTCTGCTTAGTGGGAGAAAGGATGCTTCATTGTCTTTTTTTTTTTTTTTTTTAAACATGTACGTTTAACACAAGGTCCATCATTTTTATCATAAGATGACATAAGGATTTATGTATTATCATATTTTTGCTGTAAGATAGGCAGACATTTGTTGGGGACAAATGTAAGTCAAAAACTGGAAAAAATTCCCACAAATCTGTGAAGAGGAGAAATGTACAGAGTCTCAAAAATAAAGCTGGCAGCAATTACTGAATCTGAGATGTCTGTGTGGGGAGCTCAGAACCCTCTACAGAGGATTACGAGAACCCTGCAAGAAAAATAAATGTCTCTTCTTATTAATAATTTGTCCTCAGGGGAAAAAAATATTTTTGCATTCTTGATGAGTTTTTATGAGGAATTTCGGTACGAGGTGAAGTGAGTAGAGTTGATCTGATGCCTTTGTAGCTTTGCACAAACCTTTCACCGTTCTGTTCGGAAGGGATGAGGGCTCATACACTGCCGAGGGTGATCTCATTAGAAACAATCGTAATATGAAAAACTGCCCCCCTGAAACCATTGAGTAGACTGTATTAAAGCACTGTTAAAAATGTTAAGCACTGTGTCCCACAGAAGTTTGTTTTGAGGTTTTCAAACATTTTTTTGGAGAGACTGACTTTTTTCCTTAGTTAACTTGCTCTTGATTACTGACCTAGTTGTGGTTGATGTAATTAATATACTAATTTTATTTGACTTTCAATAAAGGAGAGAAAGTGTCCAAAAAGGAAAGCAGTGTATTTTGGGAAGAGGGCGGGGTACAGGAGCTGGGTGAGTGTGGGGAGATGGATAGAGAAGAAATTGGTGTTTGGTAACTGGAATTCAAGTTACCTGTTTATTAAACAGACTTCTTAATTTCTAACCATGCTGATGTTGACAAAAGAATTAAATGATAACTTGTACTTGGATATAGTAGTGTGCTCATTTGCAAGAACACTTTGCATTTTTGGCTTGCTTCCAAAGCAGTCGCTAAGAGAATGCGCTGCTCTGGAAGCAGTCCTGGGGATCATTTATGGTATTTTTCCTCTTTTCTTTCAGTGATCCTGTTAAGAGTTTCAAAACAAACTCTGGCTCCATATTGAGGCAAGTTAATGTATTTGAGAGGGGAAAAGGTGGGCGGCAAGCACTCACCAAATGTGCGCCGTTGGCAGCTCCGAGCCAGAACAATCTGGGTGTCTGTGGCACACGGTAGTAGTTGCTGCCTGTGATACTTGTTAGCCGTGTCTGTGCTTGAGGATGTTATTAAGTATGATCAACTATGTAGCGACTGATAATACAGCTGGCACACTGATACCACGTCGGTTTTTTGTGACAGATATTGAGAGAAACTTATCTGAACATTGACACTAATGCAACTGGCTATCTGTTACTGTCAAGCTGTGTAACAGATCAAGCAGAAGCAAGCTGGCGAGTGCTTCCTTAACCCAGAGCTTTTATAGACCTGTCTGAGGGCTCACTTCTGCAAATACTTTGTACCTGGCATGCTGCATGACTTCTTTGGGACTACTCATGGCAGAAAGCATTGTGCTCTTGTCAGGACAGGCAGAAGTCTGTTATTCCTCTCTCGCACTTGCTAAAGCTCAGCTGAATTAACACAATAGGAAGGTCTTTTAAAGATACAGAATAATACCTGATCTGGCTGCATTGTAGCAAAGGTAGGAGTAGATGGCCACATTGTAGTTCCAAATAACACTTCAGCCTGCAACTCAGCGGGGATTTTCATCTGTATTATTCTAGGTTGATTGGCTGGCTGTGATTGAAGAATGTGTTCTTTTTGCATACAGCTTCCCTCTTGTGTGTGAAATTTACTGAGTTCAGATACTAAAACAATTGAATTTTGATTTATAGACAGCTCTGCCCTGGGTGTGTTGCCAGACAGATTTTTGTTTTGTGAATGTCAGTAACTGGTAATGCTGGGAAGGATAAGGAAGAAAACAATCGTGAGTGGTGAAACACAACCTGGAAAATGAGCTCCCATGTGTTCCTCCTTCAGTGCTTGATCTTTCAAACTGAATTAATCTTTTTTTTTTTTTTTTTGGATTTACACTGATTATTTTCACCATAGGTGCGCCAAGGAGTCCACGCTACCTCAGTGATCTGTTGTGATAACGCACAGACATGAGAGACAAATTCCAGAGAGCTCACAATCGTAATTTAAAACAAAATCTTAAAGCTCGGTGCAACTAACATGGGAAAACTAGATGAGCCTCTGAACTTCAAATTGCAGATGCTTTTGCTTGTGTGAGAGGACACAACCTCCTCAGTGTTGATCTTATGTCTGCTAATGTATGGCACCAGGCTTAGGTGTGGAAGTGGTATATTTTAAAGGATTATCTTGAAAGGTACCTAGCAAAGGTACTAGAAAGATGCTTAGAAATATCCAGTTCTTCCAACATCAGGTATTGCATCTGGTCTGGTCAAAAAAAAACAATCAACCAAAGAAACAAAAACCCACAGCCACAAAACCCCAATAAAGTTCCCAGTAACTATACTGGACTCCCAATAGGTCTAACTTTTATTTTTTTTTCTCATAGTGGAGTTCAGTCGATATGTTGTTGCATGTAAGGAGCACACTGCTATCAGTGATTGGTATTTGAAGGAGAAAATAATTCTCTGAGAGCTTCTAGTGTGATGTATTTTCCATATGTTTCGTGTTAGTTGGGGGTGGGGAGCGAGGGAATCAAATTTATGCAGTTGGAACAGTAGAATGATATTTCAGAGGGTAGGAAGCATCTCTTAATATGACTGAACTGAGAAATTGCACAGATGATTGGACACCAGCTCAAAAAATTCAGATTTCTAGGGAAAGCCAAATGGGTGCATTTTACTGTTAAACACTTCATAATACCATATGCATTAAAAGTTGTTTTATTGGCCCCAAAATGAGAAGGGGATTATAGCTGCTTGTACATTTTGTCTTGGTGAGGTAAAAAGGGAGCTACAGGCTTTTCTTTCCAAACTTTGTCATGTGCTGTACACTGTGCCAGACTGTAAGCTGCATCTGTTCCTTCTTTTTTTTTTTTTTTTTTTTTTTGGGACAAGCTATTATCTCTTGACTTTGTGAAATACTACTTGATAACAGATCCAGAAACCAAATTTGCCTTATGCTTGGTATATTTGTGGTAAAGTATGTGTGGTTGTGGTTTTTTGTTTGGTTGTTTTTTTGTTTTTATTTTTTAATATTACTCCACTTACGAGCTAATGTGCCACAAGTTTATTAATAGAGGGCAATGAATTAAGGGGGGAATGTGAATAAGTTATCATTAAAAAAAAAAAGTTCCCGTGCTTCTGAAAAGCCCAAGTTGCACATATTGTGTATTGGATGTAGAGTTTAGCCCAGGCAGTGTGTCCCAAAAGCTATGGGTGACCTGCAGCTTGAGTAACCTGTGTTGACATTCCTGCATTTTCAACCTGAAGATGTTTTGCTTTGTGGAGAAGAGGAAAAATGGTAGAAAACTTTTTCAATGACATTTATATCATTGAGATTCTAAATGATTCTTTTGTTGAAGAAGAGTTACCTTTCTTCCATTTGCCTCCAGAATTACTCTAGGGAAGAGAATGTAATTATTCTCAGCAAATTGAACCAGAGCAGAGAATGAGGATATCTCTGAGTCTTGTCTTCTCCTCT